CTCTGATCTGTGCTATGGATGCCGTTGCAGTCTGATATGGCTGGATTTACAGTGCATCAATCTGGGTGAGCATATGTAATATGCAATTATGTAGAATTTAGTAAGAAATAGAATGTTTTTTTGACCACTGTTGTCATCATCAGTGGATCACCAATGCAATTCTCTGCAATGAGTCTCTTGACTGACAACATAACCAAAACCTTTGCAAACTTTTGTCAGAAATCTATTACCTTTTAACATGCATTTTTACCCATGTCATAATTGGTATTGTTTTTCAGAATGTTGTAATTTTATTTGCCATGAGTAATGGTGTATGTATTTGTGTAAATATATATAGATATATGTTTGTTGATATGTTTCTACACTTTATATTGTATATTTGTTGTATTTGTAAATATAAAATATGACTTTTGACATTGAAATAAAATGACAAACTCTGATGAAGTTGTTGAAGTGTACACATTTTTTTTTCTGTATCTTAATACATAGATAAATGACAAAAGTAAATGGATATTTCAGGAACCTTTACTCAGTAATGTAAACAATTCATTGTTTTCTCATTTAAGAAATGGCTTTCTGCTGCCTGCTCTGTTATAAGAACTTGTCTGATGAAGAGAAAGTATTTCTACTCTCCAATTGATTAGGATGCTTTTGACATTACTTAAATCGACTGATCCGTTGAAAAAAAAAATTGGGAAAAATTGTGGGTGGGGTAATTTTTGTAGATTATCATTCATTAGACCTTCTACAAACCATGGCATTTGTCAGAATTGAAAAATATTTTTTTATCATTTTAAAAAATGGGTCCTGTTTGATATATTGATCTCTGAATTTTAAAGAGTTATCTGTACTTTGTTATCATTTACAAATGTTTGAAACTGTGCTTATATCATTGATAACTGTGTACTATTAGGAATTGGGGAAAATTACATCATTATTATTATTATACAGTTATCACTGATGTTTTAAATACTAGAATTTTTTGAAACATACTGATGCTGTGTTGAAATCCTAACAGTATTTAGTATTGTTGAAGTTATCATTAACATTTTTTGTTGAAATTTACAAACTCTGCGTTTTGTTCAGTTTTGCAAACCAATCAATGAAATTTGAATAAGCTGATTTGTTTGGAAAAATACTTTGACAATAATACTACTTTGCAGTTTAATCATTTCTTTAATTTTATAGGAATTCATGGTAAACAATAGTTTAAAAAAAAAAAAATTTTTTAATAACAGAGAATAAATTCTTAATATTTCTTACTCTTGAGCATGCAACATACGTATGTTGTATCCCCTTACCTGTTTGCACTTCTCCCCAAAATTTGATTTCAATCCGTGAATGTATGTCTATTTATTTTAGAGGGTATTATAGACGGAGTAATGCAAGTCACAGAATTTTATATATAGAAAAAGAAAGTTAGGTCATTTTAGCTATGTAACACTAAAATTTATTTCACAGTCATAACATATGAATACTGATGTATTTCAAACTTTCATCTGTAGACAAATGTTTGAAAATGACCTGTGAAAGTATTTGGAATATAATACAACATTTCGACAAGAATCTTTACAAGTTTCTACAGGACATCAAATGACTTGTTCAACACCAAGAAGAACTCATTAAGAGGATTCCATGTCTGTTCTATTTAAAAAAAAAAAAAAAAAAAAAAAAACTTCATTTATCTGCTTATTTCCACATAACAGAATTGACAATAAAAGCAATGCAGGGGAAGGAAGGAAGGAAGGAAAGAAAGGAATGAAGAGGGTAAGTCAGAAAGCTAGGGAAAAAGGAAAAGAAGAGCAGAAAGAAACAGTGCAAGGAATATAGGCAAAAGAGAGAGAGAGTAAGAAAGCTAATGGAAAATTAAAAGAAAAGTAAGTGGAAAGAAAATTGGCAAAAAATAGACTAAAGGTAGAGGGTAAGTAAAGAGGCTAGAGGAAAATGTTGAGAAAGAGGAGTGGAAAGAAATGTTGCAAGGCTGGAGAAGGGATCAAGGGATAGTGAGGAAAAAGAGAGAGAGAGACTAAGGAAAATGGATGGAAATGGGAAATTGCTGTCTTGAGTTTTATTACTCCTTTATCCCTTTGAATTTTACTGAATATTTTTCTTACATAGGTAGGTAGGTAGGTAAATACTGTGGTATTGATATATAGATGTTATGTTAAACTTTTAAATTAGCGACAAGTATTCAGTAATAATATTAGCATTTCAAGACGCCTTAAATGAGATATTATCATGGGCTTCACTTCTCTAATACATGTTGTGACACTTTAATATCTTTTTACTGATGACCCAGGAGAAAGGATAGTTTTAGCTGTTCACAGTTTAGCATTATTTTGGCAAAGATGATTGCACAAATAGACATGGCACCCTAACCTTTTGTGATTTTGATGTCACTTGCCTTGAATTTCAGTTTAGGATCATTCAATTTTGGACACATGTTGTTAAAATCTCAAAAGCCAGTTTTCATCTATGCAAATATCAAACCAATTCAAAGCTTTCACCTTTTAATTTAATTGTATTTAGAGAGGGGTGTCCATTTTGCCTAAAATCAACTAGTTTCAAAATTGTCATATTTAAATGTATTTACGATAAATAATAGATAATTGCCACAGATTTTATAGGAGTTTAGATCCAAGTTCTGGTTGGGCATATATGAATGCGAAATATCTGTTTACAAAACAAACATTAAATGCATTTTGTGAATGTGAGTCGATTATAATTGTGATTTAATTTGTGTGTAATTAAAGGAAAAGCAATTTATTGGTGATTGTATAGAAAGTGTCTTAATTTCTAGAGCATCTACAGTATATTTACCTGTGTCTGTGTATTTTTCACAATGTGTCGTATGTATAACAAAATGTGTGTTGTATATAAACGTGAAAAGTGTGTGTATTAGATATGCTAGTTGAGAAATGTATGTACACAGAACATATATTGTATGAAAAGTGATATATATATATGTCTGTGTGTATATTTATATTTATACATGTGTGTATATATATATTTATATATGTCTGATGTATATATATATGTATGCCACACTATATTTTATCTTCTTGCCATAGTTTTTTATATGGAAAATGTGTATATATAAATATTCTTTTAAATGTTAAATATAATTAAGGTTCTTCATGTGTTTAACCTTTTATATATATATATCTAGAGTTTATATTTGGTGTATAAATATATATATGTCATAGGTATATATATATATATATTACTTGATTTATATAGCCAGATATGTAGGTGATGACCAATGAATGTATATATTGTCTATATTTAGAATTTGGCTTATATATATAAAAGTTTGTGTATTTATATATGTATGCAATAAGGCTGGTTGTTAAAATAAATTAAGGGTTTATGTATGTGTGGTAAATAGTGGACAGGAATAAGGGTTTTAAAAATAACTGATTTGTTCTGTTGGCATATATAATCATTAGACCTATATATACCTCCACTAAAAGTCGAATTGATATAAGGTTTCTTGAAAATTTTTAAAAATGAAAAAGTATAAATTTAAACAAAACACTGCCTTTATAAATATGAATTATGTATTTCATAAGCAAATATATTATGGTGTATATAAACAGATATATGTATTGGAATATATTTTTATATTTTTGTATAAAATATATATTATATTGTTAAGTTGTTTTCATTGATAGAATTAAATTGTATATATATCTAAATTTATATGAAGTAGCTCAATATATTGGTGTATTATAAACTGATGTATGTGTATTTAAATATAAATTTGTCTGTAAGTTTATTAGCAATGCCAACTGGAAGACACTAAATGTATGTTTTCTGTAACTATATAACATATGTGGCTATGACCAAGGTGTATGATTCAAGGACATAGAAGGAAATGTATGTGTGTATATAAGATGTATTCAGTTAAGTGCTTCATTATATTTCAAACAATATATGTATTGGATTTATATGCATATGGTTGTGTATACTTTTAGCAATCCTCTTGAAGATGTTAGGTGTGAAAAATTTGAAAGTTTCCTCTTTTTTAATTGTATACAAAATATATCAAGAAACGTAAATATGTTTGAGGCATTATTCCCATATGGTGTGTATTTAAAATTTTTCAAAATAAAATATAACGCCAGTATGTAGAATTTGTGTGAATATTCAGATGGTTTAATGTATAATTAATCAATATGTATAAATATTATTTATTCCTATAAAATAAGGATAAATTAATTTAGTAAACAAACAGTAGGTTTTGTTTTAACCGTATATATATATATGTGTAGACTTTGGCTATTATGTATATCATAAAGACTGTGTAACATAATTTGTGAAAATGTATATGCTTCATTTTTGTATGTATTTTGCTTTTTTGTTTTGTCTTTGTGAATTGGTGAAACCAATGTGTGAATTATGTTTTATACATTTTTGAAATTTCTACTTTATATTTATTATATACAATCACTGTATTTTCTTATGTAATCTGAATAAAACAGCATGTTTATAAAGTAATAAAAAATAAAACATTCTTTTAAAAATCTTTTATGAACGGTTGAAAAATGTATGTAGCTGTGTGAATATTTTTACACACACACACAAAGTTTTTCACACAATAATATCACACAAAATGATGAAACCATGGCTTTAAAAAATGTATAACTAATATGTGTTGTGTATGTTCATTAAAAAACAGTATGTGTGTTTAACGTATATATATTTTATATATAAAATCCTTTTTTTATAATTTTAGTGTGCTATAAATCCTATTTATAAAAGCAATTAAAAGTTTTTTTAATTAAATAATGTCATAGTTTGAAATGCGATTTTGTTTGGAAATGAATGAACACACAACCTTGTTTAAATGAGTTTGATGATTAAAAACAAACAAAAATGTCCTGCTTTTAACTATTAAAATTTGTCTTGCAAAATGAGTCAACTAAATTATGTAACAGTCTCCTTTCAAGTAATTATTTTAACATTCATTTAAAAATATGCAAATTAAAGCAGACAATTTAAAAAACTGTAAACTCACCGTCATCTTTCAACAAGGTTTCAGCATCTTCATGACTTTCCCATTTTCCAGTAACAAAACAATCTTGTATCTGATCCTGAACCTATAATATTAATAATAATAATTACCAAACACAAATCAGGAGTCAAAGATACTTGCAAATATTTTAGGCTGATTTTTTTTCTTTTAATATTAAATTTCATTTTAGATTTACTTTTTTTATACTGAATAAGATATAATAAATAATGCATAAAAAATTTGTTTTCATTTTTTTTGTATTGGGTGTATGGTTTCATGTATATTCATATCAGTTTCACAATTTCTCAGCTAAATGTACTCTCCAGCCTTCCTCCAAGGTTCCACTACATTTCATTCCAGAAATGTCACAGGACCCTTTTCTAATCTAGTGGGATATGTTTGAAATTGTGGAGATATTTTGAGATAAGGTATGGCTGATCATGTATAAAAAGAAAGCCCCCAGTGCTAAATGTCAACATAATAAACTTATAACAACATTGGAAAACAAAATGAATCAGCATGCATGTTATGTTAAACTAATCAATCAGAAAAACAAGCTTTGGGGCAAACACATACACATATATATGTGACACGCACCAGTGGTCATGGTCGCAGCACCAATATGTGACGTCCTCTGGTCGTGATGCCAATGTGAACACAGGGTTGACAGCCTGGTCAACTCCCCAGTTGCGGTACAGCAATAAGGTTTCTTCAACCAGTTTTTGGGTTTAATTTTGTCGCTGCCACCAGCCCATGTCCCAGTACATCGGTCGTTCTTGGTTCGACTCCAGCTTTGACGCAAAGCTCAATTCCAACATGGTTATAAGCGACCACGGATCTTAAAGTCGTTAGTACCCAATATAGGACTTTGATTTAGGGTAGACGAAATCAATCAGGTCAGAAAAAAAAGACGTGGAAATCTCAGTCAGCTTCTGCGAGGCAACAGCCTGACTGCACCTGCAAATCAACTGCTGGAATTCCTGGAACTGACTAACTGCAAACTGATCAGCTGCCACGAGACGTTCATTTATATGGATACCAACCAAAAACCCGGTGTGGGTGCCCAACATGGTTTAGGTTCCCGATAATTCTCGATTCTCAGCAAGAATTCTCTTTGTTCTTAGGCCAGGAAAATTAATTACTTCCCATTTTTGGAAGATTAATCACTTTCCATTTCGGGGGTTTCTCCTTCGTCCATGAGGGAAGGTCAGAGGAGAGTTATCCTCCTAGACTCTTCCTCTCTCACATTGGTATCTCATACCAATCCCCTCAGTGGGTGTTAACAACTTCTCTGTCCTTCTCATACATTCACCTCCGCTACCACTTGACCAATGATCTCTCAGCAGTGTGGGTGTGGCTAGACTGGCCCTCTTAAAATATTATCCAGGATTTTGTTTACAAAATCTTTTTTTTTTTTTTTTTCTTTTTTTCCTTCGGCCAAAACAATTACAAATCCCAGATTGCCAAATAATTCTTATCACATTTTTCTTTCGGGGACAACCAAAATTCACTTAGTTGGGTCTCTCTACCGACTCATCAATCACTGTCAAAACCCGACACCTGGTTTTTTCTGCTAAGTCAACTTTTAGCTGGGAGGTCCGTATTTTACCTGAGAATCAAATTCTTTATTTTTCTCATGCCTTAAAATCCTCTTATTACCAAATGCCCATTTTTGACAACGCTGTGTCTGCCATCAACAGTTTGAATAAGCAATATTAATACGATTTTCTTCTTCATGCCAGAATTCTAACACACACCAGATGGCTCCCTTCGTTGGACCAAGAAATTAAAATTAAATGATATTTCTGAAAGATAACTAATATCTGTTCTCCGTGGTGGTCTCCAGCTGAAATTATTTTATAGCTGCATGTGTCAGTTGGCTTTGTTTTTCTTTCTGAATTCTGTTTCCCTTGGGGCGTCACTCCTTTATTGTGACATTAATCAGTTTTGACAGAATCTCATATCTCGCTTTTACTTACAGATTTTCTGTCTCGTGCAAAAAGTATCTTGCTTTGTAAATAAAACTAAATCTTTTTTTAACGTCGCTCAGTCTATCTTTTGATATAGCTCTTTCTCACCTTAAGTCTTTCCTGTTTTTAATTTCTATGGTTAATTAGTTAGCCAATTACCATAGCTAAATAGTGTCATACCTACATAACAATTTTAATGAAGAAAAAAAAAAAACTTAGACCAATAATAAAATTTGCTAAATTATTTTTTAACTTAAAATAAAAATTTAGAGAAAATAAAAACAAAATAAGCAGTTTTTAATGAGATGATATCCCTGACAATCTGAATCATGTGATTCCTAGAGTGTCTTCAAAAAAACTCTAGAATCAAAATGCTGAATATAATTAAATCAGGTAAACAAATTTTCATATAACCCATATTTGAAACATTTAAATGTAAAATTGCAGACATTAAAGTTAAGAAAAATTCCACCTGGGATATAACCTAGCAGATAAAAACTGATAAAGCTTAAATGGTTGCCTACAAATTCTGAGTACAATCCCTAGGTCAAGTAGTATGGAAATAGACACCATCTAGATAATAAAAGCACTAAGAAAGTCTATCTGATGATGACTGGTTTTTAACATGGGAAATTTTGCAGGGCCCGAAATCCAGAAAATATTTTTAGATTATCAACACCTTTTATTTTAATAATAATGATAAGTCCCATCTGTCACTTATTAACCCATAGTTGGGGAAAATAGCGATTCATGTATTTTTCGGGTACATGACTGACGATAAGTGAATATCACAAACTTGACTGGAATTGTATCTCGGTTCTTTGATTTCCAATTCTGAGCCGTTATCCATTTCACCACTTGCACATCTAAGCTTACTGCACCTGGTATTTCCAACTGGTCACCCATTTAAGTACTGACCAGTTTCGACATTGCTTAACTTCAGTGATTGTTGTAATGGAATGTCCCACACTCCCTATCGCCTATGTGGATGATAAAGACAAAGGTGGTACTCGAGTGAAGAAACAGCGACATGCATGCAGATGAAAGAAGAAAGGTTTATTTTAACAGAGAATACGTCGCTGAAAGACAGGAATCGGAATGACCGGCTAGTAATTCCCGATCGGCAAGCCCTCAGGTATATCCTGATGCCTCACTATATATTTCTACTGATAAGTTTTCAGTCTCCCTCTGAGCTAATTTTCCCATGAAATTTTGCTTAAAATTATTCTTTTTTAAGGTCAGGGAAAAATTTTTTGATGCCATTTCTGACCTAGGGTTTTTCCGTCTCACCACATTCACTCCCTGAAATACCTATTTCATCTTCATTTTGTAACTCTAAGAATGTTTCTAACTTTAATTCTTTCATTTCTGAGATTAGGAGATATCATTATTTACACTCAATCTATTGTCCTCATCTTTGTTGTTATTATCACAAAATTTCAGGACAGACCTCCCTTCACTTCAAAACCCACATGGAATTTCAAACTGAACCCTTTATTTACTCTATACTGACCATCTCTACAGATATTTCGTCTAGCTCTTACTACAGCTGTTATATATCAGTGGAAACTGGGTGAGCAAAAAACTCATAAGTAGGGGAGCTCAGGTTGCTAATTTGTTGTTTCTTTTGCATATTAGGATTCTTTAGATATTATTACTTTTAAGGACTCCAGAAACAGAATCATTTTTTTTTTTTACATGTGACAATAGAGTTGTGTTGATAAAAATCCTAGATTACTCATGCAAAAAATATAAACAATGCAATTGCAAAATTACTTATATGGCTGTCATTTTTTGACATCAGAGGTAAACTAAATATAACATATAAACAATTTATCATCAAGGATCATCTTATGATGGTTCTGCTTATGGTTGACTATAAAAATAACACCCTTTTTACTGCTAATACCTGAGCAGGTTGTTATAGGAAAAATCAATTTTCCAAAGTGCTCATTCTCCCCACTCTTCATCACCCATTATGGCATTCTGTTGATGAGAGATTTTATCAAGATACTTTGCAAAATGGCAAATCCTAGGGTAGAAGTGGATTTGTGCCTTTTAAAAGATAGTAGTTTGAAGTGAATATAAGTGGCCTCAGCTGAAATTCAAAATTGCTTCAATAATTTCTGAACATGCCAAGTACAAAAATTTAAATATCTGGGAAATGTTTTAACAGAGGAAAGAAAGTGCATCACTGAAATTTGAAGATGCATTGGAATAGTGAAATAAGCCTTCCAAAAAGCTAAGCAAAGTATTAAGAAACAGGAAAATTTTATTAGAAACAAAGAAAAGAGTACTGAACTGTTAAGTATTATCAGTCCTCCTATATGGCAGGGAATGCTGAACAATAACAAATGAAGAAAAGATTGGAAGCAACGAAAATGTGGTTCGACAGAAGGATGCTGAGAATACCCTGGACCAAACGTGTGAGCAACGACAAAATTTTAGAGAAAATGGAAACAAAATTGACCCTTATACATAACACCAGGAAGAGAGAGTTGAAATTTCTCGGGCACATAATGAGGAAAGAGGGCTTAAAAAATTTGATACTCACAGGACAGATTGAAGGTAAGAGGAACAGAATAAAACACTGCATAACCTACCAGAAATTTTATATGTGTGTGTGTGTGTGTGTGTCTGTATATGTGAATTACAATTAATGAGATCCAAACCATTTACCTCCGACAAATGATCATTTCATCCATGGGAAAGTAGTTTTTTCCCTGGACTTATCAATGCAAATACATTTACTAAAATGAATAAAACATTTTTTCACAGGAAATTTGAAAAGCAAAGGAACGAAAAAAGAAAAAGGAAAGAATAGAAGGAGAGGGAGTAAGAATTGGTCTATAACAGAGGAGGGAGTTATATAGATAAAGAGGGTTTTAAAGCTAAGGTGGTTGTTGTCAGTTTTAACAGATAAAACGCAAAATATTGAAAATGGACACTGACATAAATTGAAACATATATCAACACCTGTGCAAAAGAAGAATGAACAAAAAAGGCTATGAAATTTTTTTTGAGAGGAGTTAAAATTATTATAGAATGAGAGTAAGAATTTAAAATTAATACTTTTATATAAAAAGATGTTAATATTAATCCATTCAATACTACA